GTTTGTATATCTTCAGCTTTATCTTGGCTTGCATGTTGTTACGTGTGTTGCCGCCTGCCTTGGGCGGTTAGCTTGTGCTTAAAGCCCTGTTGTTGTTTCACACCGGTTGGTCACGGTGGCGGGAGGAGTCTAGCTGGCCTAGACGATTGTAACAGAGCAAAGCAAAGCCGGTGTGTGCAGTGCGCCCTCATTGCTCTGTTTGCATATCTGCGGCTTATCTTGGCTTGTTTTGTGTTACGTGTGTTGCCGCCTGCCTTGGGCGGCTAGCTTGTGTTTGAAGCCCTGTTGTTGTTTCACACTGGTTGGTCCCACTGGCGGGAGGAGTCTAGCTGGCCTAGACGATTGTAACAGAGCAAAGCAAAGCAAAGCGGCCCTGTGGAACGCTTGCCTGCTTGCCTGCCCTGCCCACTTTTTGGAGGTGGAGGCGATGGGCCGTGAATTAGGAGGCGATGGGCCGTGGGGCCGTCACGGCGACCGTCTCCCGATGAGTCTTGCAGCTGCAGACGCGGTGACAAAATAATCAATTAATCAACCTGCAAGGAAGGAAGCGGAAGCGGTTTTTGGAGGCGGAGGCGATGGGCAGTGGGGCCGTCGCGGCGACCGTCTCCCGATGAGTCTTGCAGCTGCAGACGCGGTAACAAATCAATCAACGATATATGACGCCACCGACACAGGGCGGCCTGTTTGTACACCCCCTCCATCCGGCCATAATGCCATATGAAAGCATCCTGTACAAGACACCTGTCAGCCCCTCCAACCCCCTCCGAATCCCGCCGCCCCTTGCAACTCAGCCACTGACCGAAATGTTGTTTCACACGAGTTGGTCACAGTGGCGGGAGGAGCCTAACTGCCCTGGACGCTTGTAACAAAGCGTAGCAAAGCACCCAACCACACGCCCACCGCTCCTGTTCAAGCCTTGCCCTCGCCGGTCCCGTCAGCTGATCAGTGATTATGGAGGCCCGCGGGGGCAGGGGCCCCAGGACTTCCGTCGCGTCCTCTTGTTGTGTTGCCCATTGCCCTTTTTTGGCTGTTGCCGGGAGTCGTCGGAGCCCCTCGTCAGGGCCCTCTCGGGCACAAGGCCATCAGGGCAAATGCCGTCTTGTGCTCTTTTGTGTGCTATTTTGCTGGCGCAATCGGGTGCCTACGGCTGTCCGTGGCGCCGATATGGGCGAGGCGGGGTGACACCGGCGGCGGGGCCTACGCGCGGTCCATGATCTGTCAGCGCCTGATGCGGCAAGCAGCCAAGTGCAGAAAGCAGAGCCAGTGGGGTCCTGCCCGTACCCGCTCCATCTGGAGTCGCATCACGAATCACCTGAGCGCGGTACGTGGGTGGGCACTTGGTTGAGGGGCTTATTCCTGCTTTGTTTCCCTTCTGTTTTGGTCATAGCATACGGTAGCTACAACATTGTTGATCGTGCATTACGGTACAAAGAAAACTGCTGGGACCGCGTCATCGCATGCTTTGTGCAATTTACACGATGATTGTGTGCAGCGGAAGTTGAACGGTACAATAAGATTGGCCACACCATGAAATATTTCTGATCTGAGATCGCTTGCTCTGAGACAGCACCAGTGTCAGAGGGGCGCAACTCATATCATAGCTGCGTGTAGAATCACATCAGGGCCGCGAGATCCGCCAGCAAGATGCAGGCCGCCCTGATCCTGCAGCAGGTCGCGGTTGAAGCGCCGCCGCTGCACTTGGCCCGCGCGACCGCCGACGGCTTCCGCAGCCTAGCCAGCAGCCTGGGCGTGCCCGCCGGGGACAGCTTCCTGGTGCTCTTCGACGCCGTCCTGGACCGCATGCTGGCGGCAGGGATGGCATCGTGGATAGTGGACTATGTCGCTGTGGTTTGCGTCGACGCGGTCCTGTCGTCAGATGACCCTGGCAGCGCCCACCTGCTGCGAGAGGACGCAGTAGCGGCCTGGTGCGCGCGCACCACGGCCACACAGGAGAGGCGGCTGCACGACTTGCTGAACAGCGGCGGCGGCCCACAGGAGGGGCCGGACGGTGAGAGCGCAGCGCTGGCGGCGGTCGGGGCGGCGGCGGAGGCACTGCTGCAGGTGGCTGGCGCCCTAAGGGCCCCGCTAGAGCACGCCAGCAGGTGCGGGATGCCGCACTGCGCCGGCTGCTCTGCTTGGGTGGTGTACGGCGCAAAGACAAAATAGCAGCGGTGGCGGCTGGCACTGCAGCACGCCCAGATGCGAGGACCTTCTTCTCCAGCTCGCCCTGCCTGTTGCACGCGTCCGCGACGCATTGTGGCCTGAGCCAACCTGCCCCACCTGCCCCACCCATCCATCCACCTGTTGCCCCACCCCACCCCCACGCTCTCACCCCTGCCTGCAGGCCCGACCTGGCCGCCCTCCCCGAGCGCCTGCAGCTGCTGCAGCAGGCCGCGCGCGCCGCTGCCTACTGCCGCTCGGCCGGCGTGGCGCTGCAGGCGCCGCCGCCGGCGTACGCGTCACGTGCGGTGTGGCAGGCCGCGATTGCAGGCCGCAGGGCGCACCAGGCGGGCGGGCGCATCTTCCTGGACGACCTGCTTGACAGCCAGCAGGCACAGGCCGCACACACGGGACAGGCAGCACACGCAACGCGTGCCGCGGCTGCCGCTGCCAGTGCTGCGTCGTCGCCGGCCGGCGGCTACCCCTGGGCGACGCCCGCCGCAGCGATCGTGGCGCTGTTCCTCGGCGGGGG